GGGAGCAACCTGATGCGGTGCGCTTTTTGACGTAAGCGACCACTGATCACGAAGACCAGTTTGTCTGGGTGGCGAGAGAGACTGGAGAGGCCAAGGGGAGTGTCTGTGACTCCGTGGTAAGACTGGTCTAGTGACCCAGGAGTTCACATTCTCTTGGGGAAATCTGATTATAGACCACCCCACCCGTTTGGGGTGTCTGCCCTCTTTTCTGACAGTCTGCCCGGAGGTGGGCACTCACGGTCGCGAGCCGCTCCAGGCAGCGCGACAGCAGACGGCGTGTGTGTGTGTGTTCCACGGGCACTTTGTAAGCAGCTCTGCCCCTATGAAGGGTGGACACGTGTGTGGCAAATCATGGGCGCTTAAAGATCGGGGAAGGGGGGCGGAGAAGATGGGGAGGCTGGAAGCCTGGTGCAGTGTGTTTGCCCTGCCACTGGTTACTCCCCTTGTTTTGTGGAAACGGGGACCTTGGCTTCTCAGGCTTCAAACTCAGCTCTTCTCAGCAGCTCGGGGGTCTGAGAACAAAGCCCTGGAAACACCCCCTTTCCCCACATATCAAACTTCCCTTCCCCAGGTAGCACTTTGCATCCCCGTTCTGTTCCGCACGTCTGAGAACAGGCTATCCATCCCTGAACCTCCCCTGGGGCCCTCACCTCTGTGTAATTACCTGGGGACTGACCTTGTGAATTCCTCAGCTAAGCTAGCCGGGTTCATGTTGGCTCTCTGATGTGTGGGTGTCTGGGGGGTGAGGGTGGGGTGTTAGGCGCACATGGGAACTAGTTAAACTGCTGGCGAGACAGATCCATCCCTAGACCCGGTCACCCACCTCCCCTGGCCGTCATCGTCTAGGAACAAACTAGGAGTCCCGCAGAGGCAGACCCGAAAGCACGTCCGATCAGAGGATAGGAAGCTAGTTGGTGAGACCTTGGGTCTGAATTGCAGCCACCTCTGGGGTGGAGGTGGTTGTGCCAGTGTTGGAGGGGCAAGGGAGACCATCGGCTTGAAGCACGGAGCCAGTGGAGCCTCGAACGTTCCCTCTCTGGTTTGGCGGAACTGGATGCTGGGCCGGCAGCTCCCGCTGAGCAGCACGCCTGCTGGCAGCTGAGCGAGGATGTGGCATAGAACGAGCGTGATTGGGGAAGGAAGCTAATCACAGGCCCTTGTCTCTCCCTGCCTGGCGTCTGCGTAACATGGGTGTGAAGGGGCAGGGCAGGGGGAATTGGGCCCAGGATCAGCCTCCGCCCGTCTCGCATCCGGGGCAAAGGCAGTGCCGTTCGTAGGGGTAGAACGCTCTCCCCTTCCTGTCCCCTGCCAGCAGCTGATGCAACCCCCCCGGCGGCCGATGGTGCTATTCTGAAAGCTGCCCTTGGGCAAGCAGTGCTGGGCTGGGGCTGGCCCCATGGCTTGGACACACTGGGGCAGAGGAGGGGCCCCTCTCTCTTGTTAGCCTGTCGCTGCTGGGTGCAGAAACCTGCCTCCAGATGGGTTAATGTTGCGGAGGAAGGGGATGGGAGGCGGCTGGACAGCTGGCTCAGCCTTCACCTCCCCAAGGGCTGCCCCGCCATTCCTATCTCCGCATGCACAGGATCACCTGTCTGCAAAGGGGGTGCTGCTCCCTGGTTGGAGGGATCCCCGGCTCTCACTAGGCATCTCTCTTTCCCCGCAACCATGGCTGATCTAGTGAAGATTAATGCGGAGCTGACATCTGATTCCCAGGGGCCAGGGCTCTCTTACTCTGTCTGTTACATAGAGGTGTCCGGTTCGCCTCACTGTCACTCCCGGCCAGGGTGGGGCTGGAATTGGTGCCAGGAAACTTAAAGCTTTGTGCTCACCACTGGGCTTGCAGGCGAGTCTGTACAACGACTGGCCACGTGACAACCCTTGTGTCTCCAGGCCCCTTTGAAAGCAACCTTTTCCCTCCTGGGAAGTATCTGCTGCTGGGGTGGTCTCCAAAGAGCGCTTTACCTTGGCTGCATGTCAGGAGTTTTGTAAACTGTAACACTGGCTGGGAACTCTTTGACAAATCCCTGACAAATCCCTTTTTGTCCCCCAAAAATGCTAATTTGTCAAAGCAGAAAGGGTTCACAAGATGGGGCTGGTTTGGACGAATCTCCCAACTTGGGAGAAACGTGGCAAGTTTTCCAGTTCAAAGTGACTTCTTTTCAGAACGTAAGCTTGCTAGGCTGAAAAGAAAAAAGAGAGACGATCAAAATGAAACACTTGGCTTGACCCAAACAAAAATCTTCTGACAGCTCGTTCGGCCACAGACGTCAAGATTTTTGTTGCGGTTCCAATTCGGGATGGTAAAAAATTCAAAACTCTTGAAAATATTCCCGGGACGGGGCAAGCGTTCCCTGCTGAGTGTGAACTGCAGAGATGTCAGTCCCCTGAGGCAATGGCTCCTCTGCCAACCTGCCCCAGAAGTGAGGGCTGGAGAGGGCGGCCCAGCTGCAGTCAGTCTCCAAATCACCGACAGCAGTGTGGGTACGTGGGGCACTGTGTTGCCCACTGCTGGGAGGTGTCCCTGATACTGAACTGTCATTCTGGGTGGGTGTCATGGCCATGGGGGACTTGAACCCCTGACTCTGCTCAGACAGTGTTCTGTGGCTTGCCTACGCAGCTAGAGCTCTGACAGCTTCTCAAAGCAAGGCTCTTCCCTTTGTTCCCCGGCTGGACTGTGCACGCTGCTGCTCTTAACCGCTTCCCCAAATCTGCAAGCCTGTGAAGCACGCCCAACGGCTCCCATCAAAGAGAGCCCTGAGCGTCACTGGCCCAGACTAACGGGAACAGCTCCAGCCTAGTGATCCCGCCTGAAAAGTTGGACTTATTCTCTAGGAACAGAAATCTGGGCAGCCAAGGTGACTGGAGTGAGACAAATGCAGTCCCCTTCTGTTCTGATTCATTGTCCGTCTAGTCCTGGTGACATATTAGGCTAGATAAAGCAGCAGTATGTGTCCAGTAGGCCAGGCCCTGTGTATTCTGCAGCATGCTTCTTAGTTGCAAAATCTATCCTTTGCCCCAGAATTGTAAGGGTCTGGTATTTATGGCTGTCAGGTAAGCCTTCCAAATGCAAACAGATGCAGTGTAGTCCTTCTGGGGTGGCAGCCAGGCTGAAACGCCCGCTAAGGGAGGGGTGGAGTGCCCCCTTCAGGTTGATGTGTTAACTCTGCTTAAATTGCCAACTGTCTCACTGCTGATCGCTTAAAAGCCATCCAGCTGGTGGGTTTCTCCTATCCTCTCAAACCCTTAAAAGCACCAGCTGTTCCCTCCAAAAACCCCTCACCTTCCGCCTTGCAATCTAATCTTCAGCAATGTGGGGTTTATGTTGTCAGAACACGTAACACATGGAGAACTTGGGTGCAGCTTAAAACACATAATGTCAAAACACATAGTGCAAAGGACACAGCCCAGATTGGATGAATCCCTTTAAATTCAGTCCAAAAACGCTGCTAGAGAACTTGCTGACACCAGACTGCCGGGTGCTGGGCCGGGGCCTTGATGGTCGGCCATGATTTTGCATTTGCAGGGAGCTGGACTTGACCTGAAACACTTTCCACCTCTCAGTTCTGTCGTGCAGGCTGCCCAGGGCAGAGGCCAGGTTGTGTGACAGGAAGACGGCGCTTTCCCCGTCCTGGATATACCGTGATCTGTGGGGGGGTATTGAATAAAGCTCATTTGTTTATGAAATGCTGTGAGCCACTCCGTGACCTCAAGCACTTTCCTAAAGGGTGGTGGGTTGGGGGTAACCCAAGAGCTTGTCCAGACCTTTACAGATTTCATTGGATGAGAAAAGGGGGTGGGGGGCAAAGAATTCCTCCTGTCTTTCAGCCAGTCCTAAGTAATCCTCAGTGGGCCGGTACAGGGCTAAGACATGATTGAAGCAGAGATCAGCCTGTCCTCTCCTTAGCGCCTGTCATCCAAAGATCTCCAGATCGATAACCTCCCCTCCCAGCATCCTGGGAGGCAAATATTCCCCAACCAGCCATGAAACAGCGAATAATGGCTTGGGCTGATGGAGCAAGCTGGAACCCAGGAGTCCTGGGTCTCGGGCCCCTGCTCTAATAGCTGGACCATGCTCCCAGTAAGAAGCGGGCCGAGGCGATGCAGCTGTGCAGAGAGCTGTTCATTTTTAAAACGCAGCACTCCCTTGGCGCAGTTTGCTCTCCACCTGCCCGGTGGGGAAGTGTCCTCGGCCGAGCCATGTTCCTCGGTAAATACCGGAGATCCCTCCGCTACCTAGTGCGATACTTAGAGACTACTTTTCCTCGCCGGCTGCGGAAGAACCTTGCCCCGTTACAGCTGCGCACTGGTTTCCCCCGCAGGCTAAAGGAAGGGGGCTGCCCGTCTGCTCTGAAAAGTGTCCGTTGGGTAGCGCCGCTCTTGGGGATGCGTGAGCCGGAGGAGAATCCAGCTCGCTCTGCCAGCGCTGCGCTGGGCTGGTGGGAGTGAGTCTTGCTCGACCCGGAGCGGATCTGGTCGGTCAGAAGGGGCTGTCTCCCGGTTGTAGCTGCATGCAAGAGTCTCCGGCCCCGGCTGTTTTCCAGCAGGACTTAGCATAGAGGTCCCCAGTCTGGGGAGGCATGCGCCCCTATGGAGGAGCATTCGGGAGGGTGCAGCTGGGGCCTGGGCCAGCCCCCACAGGGGGCAGGGAGGGAGCACCCCCAGCTCCGCTCCTGGACCCAGTCCCTGCTGCCGGCCCCATGTCCGAGGTCCTGGCTGCTGGCACTGGCTGCCGGCCTCAGCCTCTAGCTATGACCCCAGCCCCCTTACCCCTGTCTGTGTCCCCCCCTCCCAGAGCCGTGGCCCTGCTCCTGGCCCCAGTTTGGGGGGACACGGAGAGGTGGGGGGGGCGTGAGGTAAAATGTTTGGGGACCCTGGCTTAGCGGTAGCTGGGGTCACTGTAGCAGGTCCCTGGTTCGTTGAAAGGGGAAGGGCCGGGATTTACGCTCTGCAGGTTTCCTATTCTAACGGCAACCCTCCCCCCCACCCCGTCTCGGTTTCAGATGGGCTGACAACTTCAACGCGGGGGCTGCGGTGGGACTGCAGAGCACAGCTTCCAGCATCCCTTCCTCCAGGTACGGCCGGCGCCCCGCGGGGCCGTGGCTTTCACCAGGCGTGCGGACTCGGAGGGCGCACGCACGCCCCGCTCGTGGCAGATCTCTCCTCCCAGCCCCCCTGGCGGGGGGAGGGGAGATGGGGCTCAGCAGAGCTGGGTTCAGGCCAGCTGTTGACCATGCTTCCTCCCTGGCCCGCCCTGATGGCAGCGCCTTTCGGGGAGCAGAGGGGGTTATTCTGGGGGGGGGTGTCATGTCCTCCCCCCACCTCCCCGTCTCTCCACCCCTTCCCGGATCAGCAGGTTTGCGCAGCTGATGGTATAATGTTTTAAGCTCTGGCCTGTCCCGCCATCCAGGGCCTGCGGGATCCACTGGCACAGCTGAAGGGGAGGCTGGAGCTGTGGGGCGGCAGAGCTTCCTGGGTCTGCCTTGCTCCGGGGAGCAGTCACTGGGTGCGGAGCTGCGGCTGCCCCTGAGATACCAGCGCCCCGTCTCTGCCGAGCCGCCTCCCCACAGAGCTGCCGTGTCCATGTTTCAGGCCGTGGGAATGTTCCTGGGCGAATTCTCCTGCCTGGCTGCCTTCTACCTCCTGGTCTGCAGGGACCGGCGGCGAGCAGAGCCCAGCCTGGCCCCCGCGCAGCCCTTCAACCCGCTGCTCTTCCTGCCCCCGGCGCTGTGCGACATGACCGGGACCAGCATCATGTATGTGGGTAAGTGCTGGGTGCTCCGGGCCTGGGGGGCGGAAGGGGGCACCTGATAAGCAAGGGGCAAGTGGAGTTGTCTTTAAAACCCTATGGAACGTCATGCCTTTTTGCAGGTGGTCCTTCCTGGGGGGGTTAACGCCCCACAGTTAATCCCCCCGGAGCACTGCATTGCTCATCTGTTTTGCAGAGAGACCAAACCAACAGGCCACCGAACAATGTGTGTTCCCTGGTCAGCTCTCCGGAGATTGCACCTTCTCTCGGAATGAGGCCCGCTTCCTGTAGGGGGTGACCTCTCCTAGGTGGGCAGAAACTGAAGTTATCTTAAGTACTTATCTGGCCCCGTTACTGTCGCGTCTGAGCACCTCACACTCTGGAGTGCAGCTTTCCGTGCGACCCCTCTGTGAGGCAGAGCTATTAGCTCTAGTGTACAGAGGGGAAACTGAGGCACAGACTGGCAGCGACTTGCCCACAGTCGCACAGGGAATCTGGCGGAGCTAGGATTTGAACCCTGGCCTCCTGATTCCCAAGGTAGCGTCCTAACTTTGGCACAGTCCTTCCTCTAAGCTAGCCATCCCCCAAATCATCTGCTTTGACCACTTCCTTCCTCCAGCCAATCAAGGTGAGGACGGAAGCCTTGTGTCCGCAAATGGCTAAGAAGCTCTTATGTTCCGATGTCCTTTATGAAAATAATCAGTTTTAATAACCCCCCCTAGAAACTCAGGGCCCGATTCCCCACCGCCCTGATGCTTGGGTCATCCTCATTCACCCCTGTGCAGAGTGGGTGGGAAATGTTGTGAGTTGCGGGCACTTTGCCAGCTATAAATAACACAAGGGGCAAGGTTGGGGGGGAAACGGGCTTTAAAACCAGGGGCACAAATCTCATTCTGGCTGCTCCTGGACCTAGTGGTGTGAGGAGTTCTGGCCGCGAGAGAAGGCTCGGAAAGGGGTTCTTGCTCAGCTGGCTCGGTCACGTTAAAATCAGGAAATAAAACCATCCACCACAAAACGCAAGCTGTCCTGCCCTTGAGCAGAGGGGGAGGGGCCCTTTCCACAAGGTCTCGGCACAGAGCTCACAGCTCCAATGAAAGTCACCCCAAAAACTCCCTCGCTGGGAGCGGCATTGAGCCGGTGACCCTCCCACGCGCGATGGATGAAGCACAATTAATTGCGAGCATGTCAAAGGAGACGTCGCTCAGACTGATGCTGATTAAATCCTATTTAACGTCCGGTGGTTGTGTTCTCGAGCCGCAGGCTGGAGCCGTTGGAGGGACGGGGAGCGGGGGAAGCTTTGACTGCAGGCTGGGAAGGATGCTGCGGCTGAAACATTCTGCTGGGCACAATCGCTCCCTCCATGCCTCCCAGATTTAAAAGGCCTCATCGTGCTGCCTTTTGGGGGGCTAGAACCGGGATCCTGGTGATAAACCAGAGCGTTTGAGTTGGAGGAGATGCTCTGCAAGCTGTACTGGTATAAAGGCATTTATCCTCTGGGCTTCCCGCCACCAGAAGGCGACGTAGTCACCCACCCGCATGCTACTCTGGAGGGGAACAATGAGTCCCTTGCTAAATGGGCTCCTGTAATGGCCTGGTGTGGAGACAGCTGGCAGGACAGGAATAGCAATGGGGCTGCGGTGCATCTAGGGGGGAGGGGAGGAATGGCCTAGCTGGGGGTCAGGATTGAGGCGTGTCTGGTCCGGCAGCTCCACTCACAAGCACGTTCCTTCGCCGTAGCCCTGAACATGACCAGCGCCTCCAGCTTCCAGATGCTGCGCGGGGCCGTGATCATCTTCACCGGGCTGCTCTCGGTGGCCTTCCTGGGCCGCAAGCTGGTGCCGAGCCAGTGGCTGGGGATCTTGGTCACCATGGCCGGGCTGGTGGTGGTGGGGCTGGCGGACATGCTCGGCAGCCGCGACGAGACGCACAAGCTGAGCGAGGTCATCACAGGTACGTGGGGGGGGGAAGACAGCCTGGGAGGGCCACGAAGGAATCTGAGAGGGGGTCGTCACTGGGGATAGATTTTTCCGAGTGGGACTGCAGTGCTGGGTGGGACTGGCTGCGGGAATGCGGGTCCTGAATGCAATAGATCCCTGCTGTGATTACTCCGCCCGGCGGGTGGGGCGTCGCTGTGTCTGGAGACCCCCCCACGTTCTCTCTTCCCCGCCCCCCTCCAGGTGACCTGCTCATCATCATGGCCCAGGTGATCGTCGCCATTCAGATGGTGCTGGAGGAGAAGTTCATCTACAAACACGACGTGCACCCGCTGCGGGCCGTCGGCACGGAGGGTAGGTGGCAGCGGGGGGAGGGGGCTGGGTGGCGGGAGCCCCATACCGGGTGCTAGGTGGAGGAGCTCTGGTGACCTGTGGGCCGCTCTGGGCTACTGACTCCGAGCAGGGAGCCTGCGGCCGAGCCCCCTTGCCGCTCGCACTGGGAGACGCAGCAGGCGGCATCCTGCATCGCAGCCTCCGAGGCTGGCGCTAGGCTGTGGGGACTGAAGCGTTTATGGGGGGCACCTGAAGTGTCCCTGTCCACTGAAAACATAGGGTCCGGGGTCTGCACCCAGGCACAAAGGGCAAACTGGCAGCTGGCGGGAGGGGAGCAAGGGTCTCTTTGTTGCCACCCACCACTCCAGTCACAGTAAATGGGGCTGGGGGTGCTTGGAAGAGCTGTCTTTAGCTAGGCTGCTTTCCATGTGACTGAAACAGCGTCGGGGGTGGATACTGCAGCAAGGGGGAGGAATATAGGGTGGGTCTAGGGGAGGTCTCCTTAAAACTCTGGTTCATTTCCCACCCCTGCAGCTCACTTGTGCCTGGCGGGGGGGGTGTGACTGGATCCTGCGTGACTCAGGACAGCCTCTGAAAAACTGCATCTTTCTCCCGAAATCCATCCCACCGCAAAACCCAGATCCAGCGTTCAGGGGCCCCAGATGGATTCCCGGGGAAGGAAAGGCCCCATGTTAAGGGGGGGTGGGGGGGACTCTTGGGGAATGAGCCCCAACCAGCAGCGCCTGGCTTTTCTGCCCCCCCATCACCACCCCCTGCCTTGCTCCCTCCCAGGTTTCTTTGGCTTCGTCATCCTGTCCCTGCTGTTGATCCCCATGTACTACATCCCGGCGGGCAGCTTCAGCGGCAGCCCGCGGCAGGTGCTGGAGGACACGCTGGATGCCTTCTGCCAGATCGGCCGCCAACCCCTCATCGCCCTGGCCCTGGTGGGCAACATCAGCAGCATCGCCTTCTTCAACTTCGCCGGCATCAGCGTCACCAAGGAGATCAGCGCCACCACCCGCATGGTGCTGGACAGCCTGCGCACCGTGGTCATCTGGGCCGTCAGCCTGGCCGTGGGCTGGGAGACCTTCCACGGCCTGGAGATCCTGGGTTTCCTCATCCTCCTGGCCGGCGCCGCCCTCTACAACGGCCTGCACCAGCCCCTGCTCGCCAGGCTGCCCTGGCGCCGGCCCCCAGCGGGTGCCGTGGGCTCTGAGGCCGAGAGGGAGAACCTGCTGGGAGGGGAGAGGGCACCCATCAACGGGGACAGCTGAGGAGCCGGACCCCATGGGGCGTGGATGCCAGATCCCCGCCCCCGCCCCCCCCCAGCCCCCTGGCACGGTCTGGGACACCGAGCCTGCCTCTCTGTGCTCTGTTGGCTCTACTGGGCCTCCAGGCATTCTGGGCACGGCTCCTCTGGGGCTCGATCTGGCTCCTCCGGGATTCGGAGAGTGAAGGTCACTAGAGGTGCTCCCCCTACCGATTAAAATGCCTCTGCCCATCCCCAGCGGAGGCCCTGCCCTACCAATGGCGCACACGGGTTATGCGCCCCTTCCTCCCAGGAGGTCGCAGTGACATCCTGTTCTGTGGGTCCCCTTCCTTCTCCCTGACCTCTGCCGCCTGCCTGGCTGCACGACCCAGGGCTGTGCCAGGATGGGTTGATGGACCAGCAAGGGCCATGCGTGCCCTTGTTGGCGACCTTCATCGGGGGCACCTTCACCTTCTCCCCTGCCCCCCAAGGAGGAGGACTTGCTCTACCCACCTGCAGCGTCTGACGGTGTGACTGGAGGAAACCGTTACGCCAGGCTAGTGGGACAGGCCCATGACCCCTATTCTGTCCCGCTTGCAGAGGGAGCCTGGAGGAGCACTGGACTCATGGACCGGCCTGGGAGGCCCCATGAGAGCAGCTGTGGAGGGCAAACGCTTCTCTGCAACGCTCGCTCTGCGTTAGCCGCACACGCCAGCCCTGCCTGGAGGCGTAAGAGTGGAACGCAGGCCGGGGGCTTGTTGGTTCCACGGTGCCCCAAGCCCAGGTTGAAGGCGGGGCCCTTATCTGCGGGGGATCACCCTTCTGCCTTGTATAGCTGGGAAGAAGGGGGTGGTGCTTTCATCTCCCAGCAAGTGCCTACTCTCCCATGCATGGAGGTCTCTATTCCCCTCCCCTGGAAGCTCTCTGCTTCAGCCATCTCCTGGCACAGAGCTGAAGCCGTCTGCAGGGTGGGGCCCTGTTTGCTGCACCCAGGGTGGTGTTGGGGGACTTTAATGCTGCCCGCTGGCCCCTAGGAGCTGGGCTGCCGGGGGCCAGTGGAGCACAGGTGGCTGGCAGGGGTGCGCCGTGCCATGTGCAGGAAGATGTGCCATTCCGCGCATGCGTGCAGGGTGTGACCTTGTGCAGACAGCGTGTGCAAGGTCACACTGGGCGGAGGGGGCCATTTTGTTCTACAAAATGGCGTCCTCCCTGCAGGGGCTGGCTGGAATGGGCTGTAGGGCTGGGGCATGCAGTGTGTACATAGGCACCACGCCCCTGTCGGCTGGTTCCTGCCCTGCTCCCTCTGTTGAGGGGAAGGTTGTCACGCCAGGCAGGGAGCGATCGAAGCTGCTGGACTCACCCCAGCCAGGGCGCTCGCAGCCTGACCCGCCCTGCAGCGGGGGCGATACAGGCGTGGCCTGGCCTGGGAGGGACATGATGCCCATCTTGTCTTGGAGCACTGAGCAGTGTCTCTTGTAACCAGTAAAGCACAGACCAGGGAGCCCCCTCTGCAGCAGCTGCCTGGGGTCGGGGGAGAAGTCTGGGCCTTGTCTCTCTTTTACTGGAATCGCTCACCCTCCTGCTGGGGCTTCCTCTGCCTGCTGCATCCAGGGTTGTTCTCTGTTCCCAGCGGTGCCTGGGCCTGCTGGCCAGCTTCCCCCTCCTGCCTCCTCCCATGCAGAGCTGAGCCCTTACCGGGGCTCCGCCGTCCCTCAATGTCCTTGAACTGGCCCAGGGCCTTGCCCCGAGGTACCTCCCCGTGCCCGTCCTCATTGCTTTCCCTGCCCCTTCCAGCGCAGGAGGGAGGTGGTCACATTTCAGAGCCCCCCGCCTGTATTCCCCCTTCAGCGAGGACACCTGCTCTCAGCCCCCAGGCTGCTACTGCTCCGGGGTGGAGCCCCCTCTCTCTTCCCTTCTGACCAGGGTTCCCTGCCTTCCCTGGGTTGTGCCCAGCATGGCCAGGCTGCCCAGGCAGGCCTGCTTACTTTCCCCTCTGAGCTGGTTCCCGGTGCCTCCCGGCGTTACAGCGATCGTACAGCACTTCCTCTGCTGGCCTGTGTTAGGGTTAAGGTAAAGGCACTGCAGAGAAACCATCACAGGAACTTGCGTGCCCAGCTCCCCCCCCTGTGTCGTCCCCCCCCCCCCTATGGGTTCTGGGTCCTTCACCGCCATGCTCCAGGGGTTTCCGTGTGGGTTCTAGCTCATCACAGCTTCAGCTCATACCAAGCACCCCGGCTTATGGGGCCTGGTCCTCCCACCCCTGCCCTGAGGCTTGGGACCTGCTGTGGACCAGAGGTCCTGTCTGTGCTGGCTCAGGAGGAAGGCCCTGCGTGGGTTTAAAATCAGGGTATTTATCCAGAAATCTTTTCTTTGGCCCCTGGAGCATGGAGTTTGGACTTGTATTGCATTTCTCCCCAGGGGCTGGCTTCAAAGGGCTGATAACCGGAGGAACTAGGGTCGTATCCCCCCCTCCAGGTGCACAGTTTTGCATGTTTAACACAATGGACCCCGTGGTATTAACCCTCCTTCACGAACGTTTAACTCACTTCAGTAGTGTGACTCTGAATTCCCCAAGGCTTGTCCAGGACCCTGCAGAACAGGGTCCGGCTGAACGGCTGGGGAGCCTGGGTTCTCTCTCTTCACTCTCCTCTGCATTTCTCCTCCCCAGCTCATTCATTCCCTCCTTCCCACGCACCCTCCCAACCTCCAATAAAATTCAAAACCTTTCTCCCTTACACAATGGAGTAAAAGCAGCCCCATTGCTCTCCCTCTGTCCACCTGCTTTCCTGTTCGGTTTGCGGGGCTCAGGCCAGGAGCTGATCTGCCCTGATGCAGTGCATGCCAGGTGGGATCCTCCCTCCCTAGGCCCCAGTCAGCTCTGGAAGCTGATTTCCTTCCCGGGAGCCAGCTGTGTGCAATCCCCTACGTACATCCTCCGCTGCCCGCATGTCGGCGGCGTGGCAGGAACTGGTACAGAGAGGGCCATGCCCATGTTTGGGGCTGCTAAGATGGATGTTACATCCCCCAAACCTTCCAGCTTTGTGGAAATGCTCACTTCCAGCCCATCCCCGGGGAGAGGAGGGGGCGAGTTATTTGGGCCGAGAGGGGTAGAGAAGCTGCATGCAGGGCCTGCTGGCTCCTATGATGTGGAAGTGCAGCCTGGGGAAACTAGCATCCTTGGAGCCGATGCTGGGGCAAAGCACCTTCTGGCTGGGTTGGCAGAGATGCCCCCCGTTGGCATGTCACCTCTGCAGGCTCTGCCCTGTGTGTCTTGGCTGGACAGGTCACTGCTGCTGCGGACCCACTCCGCCACCTGGGGGCACTGGGCACAGCCTGCAGCAGGCGCTCCGATGTCCGGGTGATGGGCGGCTCTTGAAGAGCCTGGGATTCATAGATACTAAGGTCAGAAGGGACCATTATGATCATCCGGTCTGACCTCCTGCTCAACGCAGGCCACAGAATTTCACCCACCCACTCCTGCAATAAACCTCTCACCTATGTCTGAGCTATTGAAGTCCTCAAATCATGGTTTAAAGACTTCAAGGAGCACAGAATCCTCCAGCAAGTGACGCATGCCCCATGCTACAGAGGAAGGTGAAAAACCTCCAGGGCCTCTTCCAAGCTGCCCTGGAGGAAAATTCCTTCCCGACCCCAAATAGGGCGATCAGCTGAACCCTGAGAGGAGGCTGCAGCAGAGGGTCCTGGGTGTCCCTTGCAATGCAATGCTCTGCCCAGCAGTGTCTGGGGCCCTTTCCCTGGATCAGGGACCCCCATTTCCTGCAGGCGGTGCTACCAATCCGACACCTCTTTCCTCTCAGTAAGAAGCATGAGGAGGCCATGACAGGGAGCTGGGGTTTGGGCTTCCTTGCAGAGCTGTGGGAGAATGCACCCCTGGTCAATGGCTCACGGGGGGGGGGGGATTTGGCTCTGAGGAGAGGGGCAAAGGAAGGCAGAGGCACAAATTAAGTCCTGCTTATGGGGCTGAAGTGGGACTTGGGGTCTGCCTTGGCATTGCACTGGCCCTCAACCCAGGGCTGAATTCCTCCCCTTCCCCACTGAGGAACCCCTGTCGCTAGGTGAAGGGGGCGATTCTCCGGGCTGCCATGCCGCATAGCCTCCTTCTCTTAGGAACTCCCTCTGCGGTGTCTGTAACTCTCAACAATTTGCATGCAGGCTTGCTGCATATGTGCAGCTTACTGGGGTGGTGCTTGGAGCATCTATCAGGATTGCGGCCCTGTTACGCTAGGTGCTGTACAGATCCTTAGAGAGAGAGAGCCCCTGGCCTGAAGTATAAGGTAGGAGGCAGCAGGCGAATACAGTGATCAGGATGAGCAAGGAAACCATAAGCTAATTATGAGAGGACGGATGGCTTAGGGTTTGGAAGACAGGAGTTCAAGTCTACTCCAACCTAGATTCCCTGTAGGCACTTGAGCTGTAGACTTAGCCTTTCTGTGCCTCAGTTTCCCTCCCTAAAATAGGAGTGACAGCACTCTGCCCTACTTCCCATTTCAGGACCGCAAAGATTGTGCACATGTTTTCGGTTTAAAGATCATGAGGGACTCAGCTGCCATGGTGGTGGGAGCCTTATAAAATAGGCAGGTTTGGAAGGGTTGGATTTATGTCAGCAAACGTCGATTTCACAAACTGAGCGAACCATGTTTTCATCAATAACAATGAAAATTTACACACCGTCAAAGTAAGAAAAACGCTGCTTGAAAACTTGCACTTAGAGTGAAAATCCAGTGATTTAGAGCTTGGAATTAGGCTGGTTACAAATGGCCGCATCAATGAACCATCAAACCAGATTTGCTTTGTTGATTCAAGGATCATTTCGATGTGTATTTTGACATGTGACATTGACAATTTGTCTTTGAACCGTTTATCAAGCTTTCACTTCTTGAATTATGAATGTCGACCACCATTAAATAAGTGCGGGCCTCTCCCCACCGTGATTTCCCACAATTGTGAACATTTAAATTGATAAACGTCAAAAAATGCTTCAGAATAAAACAGAGAGATTAGCCCCGGACACTATATAAAAAAAAAAATTAAATTCTGCCAAGCCTAAGACTGTTTGTGGCGTCGATGCAGCTGTGTTGGTCCCAGGATAGGAAAGAGAGAAGGTAGGTGAGAGAAAGTCTTTTGTTGGACCATCTGTTGGGAAGTAGAAGCTTTTGAGCTTCACAGAGCTCTTGTACTGGTCTGGGGAAGGTAACCGGCGTGTCGGCACTAAATACAAATTGGGTCAGATTATTGGTTCACACCTGCTGTAGGACAGCGGTTCTCAACCAGGAGCCCCTGGGGCTGGGGAGGTTGTATGAGATTCCATGGGGACCTGCAGCTGAAGCCTGAGCCCCAGCACCCCCAAGGGGCTGAAGCCAGGAGCCGTGGCGTGAAACCCAGAGTCTTGGTCCCCCCCGCAGGGCTGAAGTGTGGAGCTGCTGAGCTGAAGCCACGAGCCCTGGAATCCCCCATGGGGCAGAAGCCCTGAGCCCTGGTGCCCCCCATGGATCTCAAGCGTGGGGCCGAAACCCAGATTCACAAGCTCCTGTGCCCTCAAGGGGCAGAAGCCCTGAGCCTCCGTGCCTCAAGGGGCTAAAGCCAGGGAGCCCAGAGCCCTGGTGCCCTGCAAGGAGGAAGCCTGGAGGTGCCCCCTTACTGTCAGCAGCTGAAGCCCTGAGCCTCCAGTCATGCAGGGCTAAAGCCCCGAGACCCCCACCCGCTCCGTAGCTGAAGCCAGGAGCCCTCACTAGGTCCTGGAGTTTTCATAGCATGTTGGGAGGGTCTCAGACACAAAAAGGATGAGAACCCCTGCTGTAGGAGAAAACAAAATTAAGTGGACAATTGAGGGTTAGGGTGTTAAGATCTGGGTACCTTCCCCAGTTCTGAACATAATGGCCATATAGGGTCAGTCCAATATCCATCTAGCCCAGTCTTCTGCCAGTGGCCGGTGCCCGAAGATGTTTCAGAGGGAATGAACAGAACAGGGCAATTTCAAATGATCCACCCTCTGTCGTCCAGCCCAGCTTCTCACAGTCAGAGGCTAGGGACACCCAGAGCAGGGGGTTGCGTCTCTGACCGTCTTGGCTAACAGCCATTGCTGGACCTGTCCTCCTGGAACTTCTCTAGTTCTTTTCTGAAGCCCGTTATACTTTTGGCCTTCGCAACGTCCCCTGGCAATGAGTTCCACAGGTTAACTAGGCGGGGGGAGGGGGGTGTGAAGAGCTCGATGGTGACATAACAAGAAGCTAAAGCATCATCGCCTGCTAAAGGCCACAAGGGTTAATGTCACAGGGCGGAAGCTCAGGGTCAGCCACGCCTCCGGCCTGGCAGGAGCGGGCGCCTGCTCGTGTCCAGCTGAGGCTTTGCACCGGGGAGTTTGCAGGGCGCAGGGGGGCGGAAATCCCCGGCCGCGGGAGGAGCCGGCGGGCTGCGCGGAGCGGGGCTGGGCGCGCCGGCTCCCGGGCCGGGCTGCTTTCGCTTTCGCCTGGCAGGAAATGGCCGAGAGCGGCCAAGGGGCGCGCTGCAGCCGCACGGAGGGGCAGGCGGGCGCAGGGGAGTCTCCCGGCGGCGGGGCGAGCCCCGAGCCTGGCCAGCGCGCAGGAGCCGAGCCCGGGAGCTGCCCGGCCGCTTGCACCGCCCGCGGGCCGGAGCTCGGCCCTGCGGCGCCGGGGGGAGGCGCTGACCCCAGCCCCGCCGAGTGGCGGGGACCCGTCCTGATGGCCTGGCTCCTCTCCGTATTTGCGAAGGGCCCCGAGGCGACCAGCCGCAGGGACCGGCCGGACGGGGAGCCGGACACCCCGATGCCCCAGGTGAGGACGCCCAGCGCGGCCCTGCCTCAGGCCCTGGTTGTGGGGCTGCGGCGGCGCTCCACCCCAGAGCTGGGTGCATTGCAGGGCGGGCTGGGAAGGCACAGTTAGGGGGCCAGCCTAGGCCAGCGGCGCTGGAAGATGCTTTGGGTGCAGCCCTGGGGCGACAGCCCGAGCAATAGCAACTGGGGGGGGGCTGTTATTTGAGAGGTGCCGGGTATGAGCTGGGGGACAGGAATAACTCTAGAATGGGCTCCCCCCCTCCCTGGCTTTCTCCCTAGTTAACTAGGACTTTAAAAAATAGCCAAGTTTCGATACTGAGGCCCAGATCCTGGAAGATATTTAGGCTCCTCCCTTCTGTTGATTTTTGATGGAAGGGAGGAGCCTAAATACCTTTGAGGATTTGAGCCTAATTCCCTTGACATCCAGGAATCTCAAAGCCCAGGAAGGGACCGCTGTGATGATCTACTCTGACCCCTTCTATGGCACAGGCCACAGAACTGCCCCAGAATAATTAATTCCCAGAGCAGAGCTTTTAGGAAAACATCCAATCTTGATTTAAACATTGGCAGTGATGGAGAGTCGGCCACAACCCTTGGGAAATGGTTGCTAATTACTCTTACCATTAAAAACTGATGTCTTATTTCCAGTGCGAATTTGTCTAGTTTCAATTTCCAGGCATTGGATCATGTTAGACCTTTCTCTGCTGGATTGAAGAGCCCATTAGTAAACATTTGTTCCCAATGTAGATACTTATAGACTGAGATCAAGTCACCCCATCTCACAAAAGATACATTGGAATTGGAAAGGGTACAGAAAAGGGCAGCAAAAAGGATTAAGGGTATGGAACAGCTTCCAGATGAGGAGAGATTAATAAAACTGGGACTTTTCAGCTTGGAAAAGAGACAACTAAGGGGAGATATGATAGAGATCTGTAAAATCATGACTGGTGTGAAGAAAGTAAATAAGTAATTATTTACTCCTTATTACACAAGAACTTGGGGCCACCCAATTAAATTAACAGGCAGCAGGTTGAAAACAAACAAAAGGAAGTATTTCTTCACACAACGCACAGTCAGCCTGTGGAACTCCTTGCCAGAGGATGTTGTGAAGGCCAAGACTATAACAGGGGTCAAAAAAGAACTAGATAAATGCATGGAGGGTAGGTCCATCAATGGCTATTAGGCAGGATGGGCAGGGATGGTGTCCCTAGCCTCTGTTTGCCAGAAGTTAGGAATGGGCGACAGGGGATGGATCACTTGATGATTCCCTGTTCTGTTCATTCCCTCTGAAGCACCTGGCATTGGCCACTGTTGGAAGACCGGATACTGGGCTCGATGGACCCTTGGTCTGACCCACCGTGGCTGTTCTTATGTTTTCTTTGCTAAGCTAAATGGATTCGGCTCTTTGTGTCTGTCACTAGAAGGCAGGTTTCTAATCCTTTAATCGTTCTCACGGCTCTTCTCTGACCCCTCTCCAATTTATCAACATCCTTCTTGAATTGTGGGCACCAGCACTGGACACAGGATTCCAGCAGCGGTTGCACCAGGGCCAAATACAGAGGTCGAACAACCTCTCTGCTCCTGCTAGAGATTCCCCATTTATACATCCCAGGATCACATTACCTCTTTTCAGAGTAAGAGCCGTGTTAGTTTGGTCACAGCATCACACTGGGAGTTCATGTTGAGCCAAGTATCCACCACGAGCCCCAGATCTTTGTCAGAGTCGCTGCTTCCTAGGATAGAATTCCCCAGCCTATAACTGTGGCCTGCATTCTTTGTTTCCAAATGTATACCTTTACACTGAGCCCTATTAAACTGCATATTGTTTGCTTGCGCCTGTCCTCTTCGTTATTTACCACTCCCCCAATTTTTGGCTTAGCTGCATGTTTAGGCATGTGAATTCACTGAGGATTGCCAGGAGGCAAGGGAAGTACCATAGTCCCCTGTTATAGATGGGGAAACTGAGGCAGAAAGAAGGGCTGTCCACCAGTGGTAGAACCAGGAATAGGACCCAGGAGGCCTGACTCCCAGCCCTGTTCCTTAAGCAGTTGATACTCACAAAAGATAGAGACAGAAAAGGCACTTTAGGTCCCTCTTGCACACAGCACCCCCCCCACTGCCCACCCCCCGTCACTGCAGCCGTGTTCCAGGGCTGTGGGTAGTTCAGATATATGCCCAGTGGGAGACTGTTCCACAGTTTGATTCACTGGTGCTGGAACCGTTTGTATCATGGGGGGGCTGAGAGCCATTGAACCAAACTGTAAACCCTGGATATGATAGAAGCCGCTTCAAGCCAGGGGTTGCGGCAGCCCCCCAGCACCCCTAGTTCCAGAACCTGTGGGTTGATTGAGCCCTTGATTTGAAGCGATCCTCTGATGTCCCCTGAAACTCACGTGATGGCAAGGGACAAAGAGATTGAAACCAGGCCAAAACACTGGGCATGATTGCTATTGTTCGATTGTCTCTTTGTCTTTAAGCTCGGTGCTAACAGAGCCCGGGGAGCAGCTGGAACAGCCCAAGAGCTCCGGAAGACAGCGGAGAGGCTGCAGGCTCAGCTGGAGGTGAGGGACTTTCTGACCATTCAGATTCACTGAGACTTTGTCAACATGATCAAATCTACACACGACGGCTCATATTAGAGACAAACTACTGTGTACCTCTCAGAGTAAGAGACACCCAGGGTAAAGCTACACGCTGTCTCTGGGGCTCGATCCTGCATCCATTTGTCACTGATCTACTGACAAGGACGAGTAATAACTAGTAAATACATCTGTCGTTTATTTCTAATATGATAGAGCCTGGCACCCCAGTCCTGGTCCAGGATGGTGCTAGGTGCTGTACAAAATGGCGGTCCCTACCCCAAAGAGCTGGCGATCGAAGGACCAGGTTGCTGGGTAGAGTGAGATCCCATTTCTTTCCTCATCACTGGCTGACGATTCCCGACGACTTGTGGGATCTCTTTCTCCTGCTTCCCTGCGCTTGGGACGCTCGGCTCAGGAAGCGTTTCTGCATCTCATGCCTTGTCTGCAGCATATAGGAGTCGTACCGCATTAGCTACTCCGGTCTGGTTCGAGTGGTACAACGCCCCCTAGTGTGGACACAGTTATGCCAGGACTGAATAAAGGTGCTTATATGGGTATAGCTAGCTCTGTTCAAGAAGGGGGTTCGTAGGTTCCAAGGCCAGAAGGGACCACTGTGGTCATCTAGTCTGTCCTACCGCAGGCTGCAGGACTTCCTCGGA